CCCCCCCCCCCCCCCCCCCCAGTTGGTGCTCAGCTCCTCCTTGCAGCCACTGTCCCCAAGCATCTCTGGCCAAGATAACCGGGGAGCAGAACAGGCATGGTGTTGGATCTTTTCCCGAGCATCGGCAGCAAGATCCAAAGGCAGACCTGAGGCCATGCCAGCTTTTTAGGAAAGGGTCTGGGCAGATGAGCCAGCATGCCGTTTTTGGTGAGCAGCACTCCAAAGCTGCTTCCGTGGGCTCAGAAAAGGGCTGTCACGCCCCATTGGTGGCCCTGTTGGCAAGCCAAGGGCATCCTCTTCCAGTGACTTTGCTTCCTCATTGTGTCGTGCTTTCTGTCAGATTTACTTTTACGCCAGTTACGTCTTTGCAGAAACAGGGATTCCTCCCGAGAAGATCCCCTACGTAACTTTAGGCACAGGGACTTGCGAATGCCTCACTGCCCTCACCTGCGTAAGTAGCAGAATCCAAGCATTGCGTGCAGCCACAAAGGGGTTCTTTTGTGACTGAGCGAGGAGAGGCTTAGGTCTCCTCCTCCTCCTCCTGCAGGGCTTGCTAATCGAATCCTTGGGGAGGAGAGCTCTGATCCTGGGAGGCTATTCCCTTATGACGCTGTGGTGTGTCATCCTGACATTCTCCCTGACATTCCAGGTAGGTGGGGAACCTCCCCCTTCCGGCTAAGGGGGAAGCATGCCCATTACTCACCGCACCCGCCTGCAGTGGCTATAAATGCTGAGCATTAGCCAGGCCCACCACGCGCACAGCACCGTCTGCCCCGGCAGCGCCTCCCGGCCCCTTGGCTCACGGGATCCTCCTGCCACTTAGGAAAGCAGATGCAGCCCAGCCGTCTTATGCTTTCTCCTCAGGTGTATGCGTGGGCGCCATATCTGAGCACGGCCTGCATACTTGCCTTCATCTTGAGCTTTGGGCTTGGACCAGGTATCCCCCTTTTATGATTATAGTGAAATTAACACACGCAAGTCTGGGGGGCCTGCCAAAGGGAAGAGGCTGAGGAAGCCTAGCTGAAGAGAGCCATGTCTGCAAGGGGGCTAGGGGCGGGGGAGAGAAAGCCAGGAGTCATTGTCGCTTGGTGCTCTTTCAGCCTGGATGGCATGTCCTTGTTACATAATCTCAGCATCACGAACCAAGACCCCTTCATGCTGGTCTGTGACCGTAATAAAGATTTGCTTCGCCTTGCATGCGCCTCTAAGGAGTTCGGAGGCGGGTGGGGGTGGCCTTCCAAGACGCTTGCCAGCCACGTGGATTTACACACGGTGCCGCCATTCATGAAACCTCGCCTTCTGGCACAGGACCCTACTGGAGCCCTTTGCTCTACCCTGGAATGAAAATGAGCATCCATCCATTTGTATCCTTCCATGTAGACCTGAAACCAACTTCCCCCAAAAGATAGACAAATCACCTGTTTGCTATTTCTGTTTTACATTCCGTCATATCTACCAGAAGGTTGAACTGGCCTGCATCCTCCACAACTGGCCTGTTACGCCGTAATTCACCATGCCCACCCCTTCTGTGCTAACAAGGGCCCCTTCCTCCAGGTGGCGTGACAAGCATTTTGACGACCGAGCTGTTCACGCAGTCCTCGCGCCCTGCTGCTTACGCCATTGCAGGATCCGTGAGCTGGCTGAGCTTCTTCGCTGTGGGAATGCTCTTCCCTTTTGTCGTGGTAGGTTGGTGGTTCTGTGAGACTGCGTGTGTTCCAGCCTTGTGCTTTGGGCTACTTTGATCGTTTGTGGCCAGCTTTGCCCCTCTTCAGCTGAGAAGGCTCCCTGAGGGTCAGGGACAGAAATGATCAAAACACCCCCTCTGCGTGCTGACAAAAGAAACGGTACCGCTGTACAAAAGGAGAAGCATGGCATTATGGTCCACTCACATTTTGTGGAAATGATTTTAGATTTTTGGTGGGTTTCGATTGTCCTCATGTGGATTTATCTAACTCTCGTTAAGAGGGGGCCCAGAATTTAAACACTGTATTTAGCCTACGATCATAAGCTTTGCAAAGTGAATTGAAGTGTAAGAACTGTGGTACTCGGTTCCCAACAAAAGCAACTTTCATTGCAACCAAGGCAGGTTCGAAGGAAAGTTCATGTACTGGAAAGTACCGAACAGCTCTAGAGCATTGCTGGAACTGAGTCCCGCGCGTGCCAAAACTCAGTTTTACCTCACTCCCATCCCTCCTGCTTGTCTTTGAATCTCTCTTGCGCGTGCCAAAGATGTTCTCTGGTTATCACGTTGGTATGAACTTGGGCATTCCTGAGAGCCAGATAATAGTCCATCTGCGTCTAACGGTGAACCTTCCAACCTCCCCTCCCTCGCCATCACTGTAATGGCAGAAACGAAGCAAGCGAACTAAGGGTGCAAGTGATCGATTGCGAGGATTCTGACATGAAGCCTGACACCCAAGAAGGATATGCTCTGGCTCCCACCCCTTTCAAGGGAGGCCTAAAAAAAAGGCATTCTTTACCATTTAGCATTGGTGGAAATTGTGCCACCCTGTGGGCATCTCTTTGATCAGGAGAGGTTGGCCTGTGGGAGAGGCAAGTGCTTGCCAGCTTCTCTCCTGCAGTAACAATTTCAGAAACCATCCTCATTTCAGCATAGAAGTTTGACAAGCGCATTAATGAAGATGTGTTTGTGAAATGCTGCTGCCAAATCCAGAAATGCAAATGTGTGCTACCTTGTATGCCTTCAGTGACCTCCCAAACAATTGCAATGTACCTGTACAGCTTGAGGGGATGCCTTGGACCAGGGCAGGAGGCTTGGTTGGCTGTAGCCAGAGGCTACAGCTAGCCCTGGTTGTCTGCCCACAGGGCATTTGCAAAACTGCAAGAGATTGCTGCCCTGCCCTGTGGATTCACGTTTTGCTTTCTTGCTTCTTCCAGAAAGGCCTGCAGCAGTACTGCTTCGTTGTGTTTTTGCTAGAATGCAGCACAGTGGCCGCTTTTATTTTCTTTATTATTCCTGAGACAAAGAACAAAACCTTTCTAGAAATTAAGAGAGAATTTCACAAGCTCAACTTTGGGAGAGCCAGAGAGCCGAATGGAGAACCGTGCGAGAGGCAGCAGCTTCACCTGGAGCTCTAAGGGCTGGGGCGGGGTTGGGCCGTGGGACCCCTGCTTCATCCAAGGATGCCACCCCAGCAGCCCAGGACCAAGAGCCTGCCAGCTGTGCGGGCAGGGGAATATGTGCCCTTTCCTTCTCCCGAGACCCGCTCCTGCATCCTAGAGAGCAGGAGGCTGTTCAATAAAGCAGCTGCTTTTCTCCTGGCTCCTGTTTTCACGTAGAGACCGTAGCTGAGCCACTCCACAGTCAAGAGGATGAGCATGGGAAGATCCAGCGGGGTTAAAGCTGGCAGGGTTGGGTGGCAGTTAGCGAAAGCATCGTCCCAGGGATCAGGTTTGTGGTAAACGGGCAAGCTAGGAGTCCAAAAGGGAGTGCATGTTACGCTAATTGGAAGCCTCTAAGGCAGGAAGAGGGAACTGGAACACTTCCTCCAGAAAGAGGACACATGTGGAAAGCTCATGGTATTTTGCTTAGAAAATCATGAGGGAAAATAGAGGCTTATAAAATAAGCACAGCATGAACTCAAGTCACAAGAAAGACCAGTTGGCAGGAGGAGGAGGAGGATGCCCCTCATCTTAACCTAATTGTAAGCTTAGTTCGTGACCGTTGGGCGAGGCCACCCTAGAGCCTGATCTGGTTGCAGGGCTTTTTCTTACCGTTACCTACATGCCATTCAGGGCGCTTCTGGCCATTTGAGAAACTTTTCTGTGGAGTGTTGGGCAGGAGACCACACTCCCTTTTTGCCCTGGCAACCTCTGTGAACCCACCCCAGCATCCCCGGCTACAGGGGGTAAGGGTGGGGCAAGCAATCTCCTCCCTGTCATGCTGCCTACCATCCTGCTGGGCAGCAAAAGCAAGAGAGCCCCCCCAAGCATTTTCAGCCCACTTCTGCCAAAAGGGACGCAAGAAGTACACACATGCCCTCTTCCAAGCGCCTTTACTTTGATTCGCTTCATCTTGGGGGCTCGCTCATAGGCAGCTTCTGGCTCTGGCTCACAAGCAGGGCCGGAGAGATGAGAGTCTTCCCTCCCATCTGACCCCAGGGGAAGCGGACCGTCTCCCTCCCTCCGGCTTGGTCTCAGGCGCGGGGCAGCGAGTCGCTGAACAGCTAGTTCCTGGCCCAGGCAGAGGGCAGGGGGTTCCTTCCTGCATCATACGGTGGCTGCTCCATGGCGGGAAAGGGACAAGGCAATCAATAAGCACGCCATGGGACTTCAGGCAAGGATTGCCCTAAGGGAAAACTGAACATGGTGAAGGATCAGGAAGGGGCTTTCTTTTCCTTCACCTTCTCCTCCAGGTTTGCAAAATATTTCATTTTGCCCAAGAGTCTTCTGGCCTCATGAAGGTCATCTGCAATTACAAGACAGAAACAAGACTTAAAAAGTTAGCCTGTATGCCAAAAATTCCCAGGGCTCTGCACTAGACTGGGAAGTTGGGAAAAAAACCTGGAAAGCCAAAAGAACCTTCTGTACCATTGCTAAGGAAACTGCATGGCTGTGTCCAGGCACAAGAGTTCCATCGAGCCTCAGTCTTTATCTTTTTAAAAACAGGCAATTATCAGACCCTGCTAGCATGACTTCACAAAACAAGGAACAATCAAAAGGAGGAAAAAACTGCCTCTTAGCAGGATTAGAAACTCAGGTACACAAATGGATAACAATTTCTGCTTAAGGCAGCAGTGCAGAGGAAGGCCACAAAGCCAGAACTCTGGAAAGGGCAGCAGCGTAACTCAGCAGGTCCGGGAGGTCCTTCCCTTTGTCTGCAACAGCCAAGCCCTCTTGTCCCCTTTTTACACCTCCTCCCCCTCCCCAGAGAAGTCTGCCGGTTCTGCCTGCACACAAGCAGACCTTCCTGACCTAAAAGGGGCTGGATGAGCCCAGTCCTGGTTTTCGCCAGCCGCGGTCAGAGTGGGCGGTTCCGGGAGAGCAGAGTGGGCCGGAGTCAGTCCGCTCAAAGCCCCCCACCTCCGGGAGGCAAAGCCTCCTACCTTGCTCGAAGGCCTTGCGCACCTCCTGGACCAGTTCCTCTTGCTTTGCTGGAAGAGAGAGGAGGAGGAGGAGGAAGCCACGCGGCCTTCCGGCGCCCCTTGGGGAGGCTGGTCGCCGAGGCGCGGGGAAGCCCGGAGGGGCCGCCACAGCGCCTCCGGGAGCCCTGCCGCCCGCCCGCCGCCCGGGGCTCCCCACCGACCTGCCAGGAGGCGCTCCAGCGCGGCCAGGCTGGCTCCGAAGCGCGCGGCCGCCAGCTGCTCGTTCAGCTCCAAGACCTC